GGATCTCATAAATCGCAATTCTGCTTGAGTCTGCTCGGCGTACTGGCGGAACATGTCGTTTTCAGTGAAATCCGCGGTATTCTGATGGTTAACAGGTGTTTCTGTTTGGGGTTCAGCCCCCGTCTCCCCGAGAGGGATGTCTTGGGGGTTCTCCACGCGAGGTGGAGGCGGGAGAGGCTACTCATTAACTCTCGTGGAGTCATTGCGCGAGCTCGTACCTGGGATGTCTACGGTCACGGTCGACGAGCAGGTGCGCGAGTTGAACACAAAGTATGTGCTCGCGTTAGTCGGGGTGGATAAGATCCCAGAAAAATCTAACCGCGACCGTGGGGTTGTGTATCGGGGAGGCGTGCTATTCTCTCCAATAACCTTTCAGAGCTGGGTCTGGTAGGCGACCGACTTAGAGATCTCCTGCATCTGAGCGAGGAAGGATTTCTCTTGTTGCTCGAGTCGGGCCTGAATGGTCCTGACTGACGCGTCTTGTGTCAGTGTTTTTTCCACTAGGGTGGAAAGCAGACGACGGATCTCGGTCATTTCGTCTCGCGTCCGATCGTTCTTCCCGGTGGGGGTTGAGATTCGGGCGTCTTTTGGATATCCCCGGATACGTTTTCAGCGGGAACATCCGGGTTCCTTATCCATACTCCTCGTGGAGAGGGTAGAACCGTCGGAGTCGGTGCCGAAGTCGTTACCTTTGCCTTTAGGCGCTGGTCGGCCTGGCTTGCTTCCGATGGTCTGTTTCCTGTTGGAACCGTGGTGCTGGTTCCGATTTTTACATGGTTTCGCGGCTGAGATCCAGATGGTTCTTGACTCTGGGGAGTCGCGGCCGGTGCGTCGATGGCTTTCGGCGCGGCGGACTTGGATTGATCCATCTCTTCCTTAGCTGCTCTTAGGTTAAACTTATGTGTCAGACGTATGTATTTCTTCCCCTTAGACGGCGCCAAATGTGGAAGCTGAATTCCGCACTAAGAATTTGTATGTGAATTCGGAATAAAACCTTAGTCCTAAGAAATGTCTATAAGCTCAACGATTAAGACAATAGTAAAGAGGAACTGGATTTATATTGATCGAAATCGAATATACAACTATGTCTCGAATGAGACGAATTACAAGCTCAAAGTGTAGTATTCTAACTCTCGCGTGTGTAAAAAGTTGCCAAAATCTGCTCTGATTCCTTTTATTTATAGCTCAGCTCCGCTCAACTGTCCAGCTCCACTTCTCCGGGGTGGTTTCGCGTATCTCAGCATGTTCTCTGCAAATCTCGCTCAGCTCGCTCGTCCCAACCGCCCTGTTGACTCATTCCTGTCCGTCAGCTCTGCGCGCCTTGATTCAGTCTCCTGCGGGGCTGATCCGGGCCTTGACCGGATCTTTGGTCTGTTTCTTAATTTTGGGCCGTAGGCTCATCGGACACGGTAAACCCTTCTTAAACAGAGGGCATTGACCGGGCCGGATTTGGGTGACAACTCCAGGCCCAACACATATATATATTAATGTATGTAAAGTTTTGTTCTCTGTATCTTGTTGCAAATCATTTTACTCTTCTACTTATTTGATCAAATCTGTTTGGTGTTTGTAATTTGAGAAGTATTTTTTTCAACTCCCCGAACACATGAGCTAAATTCATCAACGTGCATATATATATAGAAATAAAATCAGGGAAAATCCAAATTCCTAAGAATCTAGTGAAATAATTGGTTCTAAGATTAATATATGCAATGAAAATCATGTAACATTGGAAGGCAGAATTGGACTAATTATTCTCCCGGATTATTCCACGGAGTCGTCTGAGTAACTCATGAACGATTCCTCCGATGTCAAAGTCGAAGTCATATTCTCCCGGATTTGGAAGGCGGCGGAATCCTGTGATTCGGACCTCTGCCGCCTTAAATACCTGATAAATCTCCCTCTACGCCTTGGGAACATTGTCTCGTCCACCTCCGCCGCCTTGGAATCCTCTATCTTCACCTTGGAATCCTCTATCTCCGCCTTGGAATCCTCTATCTTCGTGGCGTCTCCATTCTCCGGGATGGCTACGGCTTTCTCCATGAGGCGTTTCACTTGTTCCTTGGCGATCTTCATCTCCTCGTCTGAAGAGTCACTGGTGAAAC